TAGCATGCTACTTGAGCCACACATCCACTTCTGTTTTTTTGGTGGTTAGTTAGATGACAAGAGTATTAAGTACTTTCCTGTGTGAGCTGGTGATCTTCAGATCACCTCAGATCCTCAGATCATCTCCTGAGTAGCTGGTATTATAGACACGAGGACAGTCCTACTGGTGCCTGACAGTCCCATTACTTATTGAAGCATGAATTGGCCCTTTTGTACTTTTTCTTTTGGGTCCAGTCGTGGGCCTGAACTCTGGGCCTGGGCGCTGTCCCTCAGCTCTTCAGCTCAAGGCTAGCGCTCTACCACTTGAGCCACAGCGCTACTTCCAGCTTTTTTTTTTTTTTTGCTTATGTGGTGCTGAGGAATTGAACCCAGGGCCTCAGGCATGCAAGGCAAGCGCTCTACCACTGAGCCACCTTCCCAGCCCCTACCCTTCTGTACTTTAACAAGAACTGTAACAATGAAATGAAATTATTACTTTAATTCCACAATGAATAAAAATAGCCAGGATTTAATTCTACTGTTTTTTTATCTATGGCAAATAATACTGGCTTTATCTTAATGGTGGTGAGGTGAAATTTGCCTTAAAGAAAAATGTTAAAAAAAAATGTTAACTAATGTAATAATGAATGGAGTGTGGTAGTAAATGCATGCAATCCTATCACAGGGGAGGCTGAGGCAGAAGCTCTCAAGTTTAAGGTCAGCTGGGCTATAATATAAGAAGGGAAAAAAAAATCCTAGTAAGGACTAGCAAACCCAATCTGCTGACATGCAAAGGATTGTATACCATGACCAAGTAGCAGTTGTGCCTGGAATAGAAAGTTGTTTTAATATTTTACAAAAACACAATGATTGCAACATACAATACTAATAGAAATAAAAATAGTAAACAAGCCAGGCACTCCTGTAATCATAACTACTCAGAAAGCTGAGATCTAAGGATAGAGGTTTGAAGCCATGGGCAGAAAAGTCCATGAGACTCTTTATCTCCAATTAACCACCAGAAAACTGCAAGTGGCATTGTGGTTCAAAGTGGTAGAGCATTAACCTTGAGTAGAAAAAACTCAAGGACAGCGCCAAGGCCCGTGACTGACAAAAACAAAAACCATGTAAAATTTTTGAAAGATAAAGACAAACTAAGCTGTCTTCAGAATAGATTAAGGATACATGACAGCTAACTACAAAGGCAGCTCCTGGACCAAAAAAGAGACACCATGGAAAAATTATGGAAATTTGAATAAGAGCTATGCTATGGTTTGCATATACTTTGTCCCGCACACCCAACCTTATGCATGGCTGATCCCTAAAGTCTATATTAATGGTGTTAACTTAAGAGGGTAGAAACTTAATTACCAGATTAAGCTTTGTCTGATTAAGGCATTATGGTGTCTAGAGGTGGGGGCTTTGGAAAATGACTGATTAGATTTTCCCATTAGTATGGAGGATAATGATTGGTGGCTTTACAAGGAAAAGTAGAGGCCACACATGCAGACATACACATGTGCTCCTGCTCTGCAGCTGGGCCAGTGCCAGTCTCCCAGACTGTGAGCTAGCTAGGAGCTGGTGACTCACTCCTGTAATCTTTGCAACTCAGGAGGCTGAGATCTAAAGGTTGTATTTAAAGCCAGCCAGGGCAGAAAAGTCTGAAAGATTTTTTTTTCTTCCATTCATCAACAGTGCCAAACTGGAGGCTTTGTTCAAGTAGTAGAATGTCAGACCTGAGCGAAAAAAAGATCAGTGAGAGTCCAAGACCCTGAGTACCAGTGTGCACGCACACTTACACACACACACACACACATACACACACAAAAAAACTGTTAAATAAATCTCTTTTCTCAATGAATTAATCCTGCCTCAAGTATTTTGTTACTGTGCTGAGAAACTAATTATCCCTAGATTGGTTAACAATCTTGTATCATTGTGAATGTACTGGCTTTGATCATTGTATTATTGTTATATAAGATGTGGGGACTGGAAATGTAGCTGAGTGGTAGAGAGCCCTTACCTAGCAAGAGCAGGAGACCCTAGATTTGGCCCTCAACACAACCCAAATGAAAGAAAAGAAACGGTGGCATTTAGAGATGGATGAAAGGTGTACAAACATTCTTTGTACCCTTTTTCCCCTCCCTTTTTGTCCTTTTCTTAAAAAAAAAAGTTTTAGTGAAGTATAATTTGTAGACCATGAAATTTGCCCAATTTAAGTATATAATTTAGTAATTTTCAGTAAATTTACCAAACTGTGAAAACACCCACACAAGCCACTTTTAAAACCTCCTTATCGCCCCAATAAGCTGCTTTACGTCCTCAGCCCTAGGTGATCACTGATAAGTTCTCTATTATAGCTTTGTGTTCTCTTGCCATTTCTTATAAGTGGAATTATACAATATGTGGTCTTTTGTGCATGGCACTCTTAAAGCTGCCTCTTAGAGTCTTTGTACTGCTTCAGTGGGACACATACATGTTGAAACTTAAATAAGATATATACAATGGCTTAATGACATTGGGCAAGTACTAATCTCCTGGTTTGCACAATTAGAGTCATATTTTTATTTAATTTAGTTTTTATTTTTTACTGGGCCTGGGCCTTGAACTCGACCTGGGTGCTGTCCCTGAGCTTTTGTGCTCAAAGCTAGCACTCTACCACTTGAGCCTCAGCTCGACTTCTGTTTTTTGTGGGTTTTTTTGTTTTTGTTAATTTTTGTGGTTAATTGTAGATAAGAGTCTCATAGCCAGGCACTGGTGGCACTTGCCTATAATCCTAGCTACTCAGGAGGCTGAGATCTGAGGATTGCAGTTCAAAGCCAGCCCAGGCAGGAAAGTCTGTGAGACCCTTTATCTCCAATTAACCACCAGAAAGCTGGAAGTGGTGTTGGGGCTCAAGTGGTAGAGTGCTAGCCCTGAACTGAAGAGCTCAGGGACAGTATCCAGGTCCAAAGTTCAAGCCCCATGACCGACCAAAAAGAAAAAAGAAAGGTCTCACAGACTTTCCTGCCTGGGCTGGCTTCAAACCTTGATCCTGAGATCTCAGCCTCCTGAGTATCTAGGATTACAGGCTGGAGACACCAGCGCCCAGCTCACCTTCCTCTTACTATGAAAATGTAAGCTAGGCACTGATGGCTCACATCTGTACTGTGTGAGGATCAGTGCTTTTATGTGTGAATACATATGTGTATAATATATATGTTTTAAGGCTGGAGGTTTATGTACTGCTACTTACATTGTGATTTTTGTTCATTTCCCAGAGGTCCTTGAGCTCAGTATCCAGAAAGTTTCCTCAGGCTATGTAAGTGCTGAAAAAACTGAAGACTTGTACTGCAGGACCTGTCACTTCCACCTGTGATGTTCTAGGGCTGGACAGGAGGATGGAAGGTGAGAGGAGAGTGGTCTGGAGGACTTGGGGCTGGCCCTTCTGCCAGCCTGAGCATGTCTTAGCCCTGATAGGGCCTAGGGAGGGATCCAGGGGCAAGAGACCAGAATCTAGTCTTGGTCATCTGCCCAGGGACTTCCTCACAAGCTGCTGATGTCAGGCCTCAACTTCCTGTCACCAGAGCAGAGGGAGTAAACTTAGATGGGAGGATAAGAGGCCTGGGAGGTCATGAGAGATTGTTGGGAGGAGGCCCAGACTTGTCCAGATGCCCAGATGTGCCTGCAGGCCCGCAGAAGAGCAGCCAGATTCATTCATTGTATCCTACTGGTCATTCTACAACCAAACACATGGTTCGATACATCCTGCTGGTGCCTCATGGGGCCAACATGGCTCTCTGGCATCCTATGTGTGTCCTGGATTCTCTGTCTTTCCTCTACCACTGAGTGCAATTGCTAATGGCAGTTCAGATGGGCATAAGGACTAGCCTCTGTACTTGAGGAGCTTACATGGATCCCCAGCTGTAGATCATCTGCTTTCCTGGGGACAACAAAGAACAAAAGGCAAAGCTCTGGAGCTGGAAGGTGCGCTTGGGACAACAGGAAAGGAGGCTTGCTGCATGGTCAGAGTAGAACTCCCGAGGGGCTTACAACTCTGCCTAATGTGACCTGGCAGAGTAGGGGAACAGGGCATCCTGGTGGCCCAGGACCTAGTGAAGTAGCAGTTGTTTTGTCCTGTTCCACAGCATGTGTACGCTTGCTGATGGCCTCCACTGCCTCCTGCCTGGACTTTGCCACCACTGGCTAACCAAACCCACCTCAAACCAGCTGGGGCCCAAAGGAGAAGAACTACTTCAGAAAACCAGAAAGGCTTAATGGCTCAGGGGAGTGTGCAAGGCAAGGTGGGATCCATAATCCGGTGCTCGGGTGCCCTAGTAAGTCACCCTCCTACTCTAAAGCTTCCTTTCCCCAAACTGCTAATGAACTTTCCAGAACTGCAGCTTTCCATCTCAAGTCAGACTTGGCTCACAGTTTGGTCTCATGTGGCCAAATTCCAGGCTTGGGAGGGACCTGTCCAGACCATCGTGTCTAAGTGAGAAGGATTGTGAAAGGGAAGCAGAAATAAGAGAGATGGCTTCAGTCATCCCATATGCAATGACCCACCCTACCCGCCAAGCCTTGGGACAGGTACCCCCTGTATGGACTTTGTGCATGGAGCCCAGGAGCCTCAGCCTAGTGAGACCCAGGTTGCCTGGAGGAAGCAAGTAGAGAGCTGGGTTACTGAATGGCCCTGGTTGGGAGCAGAGGAACAGATAAGTGGGGTGGGGGAGTCAGGGCTGAGAAGATCTTGGATGAGAGGGAAGTCTTGAAGGCTGCCTAAGGGGTGCAGGGCCTGGGGGACACTAGGAGGACATGGTAGCTGGCATCACGCCAAAGCTGATAAGGGTCTGGCTGCTAGCTTTGGCTCTGTGGCACAAAACTAGAACAACCTGGGGAAGTGGCCAGGCTGTCCTCAGCCCTGGTTTCCGCCCTCCCAGTTTGGCTGGGCTCCCTGCCTCTTGAGCATAGACACACACACCCACACCCCTTTCACTGGGAAGGGTGGGGAGCACTGAGGCTCTTCCTCTCCTTAACTGGCCTCTGAGCAACAGACAGGCTGATAAGAAGTTTGCAGCTAGCCCTGCCACTGCCTGCAACATGAAGGACGAGGTGGCTCTCCTGGCTGCTGTCACCCTCCTGGGAGTCCTGCTACAAGGTAGGCTGGCTCCTGTCTGGGAGGTGTCCTGGGAAAGTGCTAGCAAAGACTGGAGCCTTCAGCCCAGCCTCCCAGCACCAAGGTTCGAGCTCTTCCAGGGCCCCTGGAGACTTAGCTAACAAAGGACCTGAATCCCAACTCAGATACAAACTTTCCTGGGGTGGTAAAGAGGAAACCCATAAGGGGTGGAAACTGTAGGCAGTTTTGCCAGTTACCTGCCTTGGGGCTGGGGACTGGTGGCTAGGTGGCCAGCCTAAGAAGCTTGGAGGAGGGGCCCGGGCTCTCTAGGACTTAAGTGTGGTAGCAGATATGTGGAGCTGTCTGACCTGGCACCCGGAGCCTTTGGGATGAACAATGGCGGGACAGCTGATCCTGGTGGGGAACTCTATTCCCTGGCTCTGCTTTCAAAGTCACATTGGGAACCTGTGGATCTGGGCAGAGTGGGGACCTTTGCCCCCTAGACCTCAAAGAGGTGCCCTTCTTGGTGGGCTGTAAAGAACCAATCCCATGGCCAAAAATTCCATTGCTCCAGTGTGTGGGGCAAGGAGAAGGCACAGCTTGGGGAGGGAGCTTGCAAAGGGTTGAGCAGGCTGGAAGGGGCTAGGCGTGGCTGGCCATCGACCTCCAAGCTGCCCCAGCAAGCACCAGGGATTTCGGTAGCTATAGGGTGAATGCTGCCTTCAACCAATTCTGCCTCTGTGGCACTCACTACCTACCCAGGGACTAAAAGACGCAATGATGTCCATGCTTAGAGTGGGAGCTAGCCATTTGCCTGTGTTTTGCAAGTCAAATGGTTTAGCAACAAAGTCCCTTGTGGTGGCTCCCTCCAACCTGTGTTATGCATCACCCTCCCCCATACTTAACTGGGGCGCAGCGAAGCAAGTAACTCCCTCCCGCTCTCTGGAGGCAGAGGAGAGGCTTTCCACGTGGAGAAGTGAAGGGGCCGGATGGGAGGATGATCCCTGCAGAGGATCTACACCTGACTCCACATCTCTGCCTTCCTCCGCTCCCCCCCCCCGCCCCCCCAGCCTACTTCTCTCTGCAGGTGATCTCTGCGCGCCGGGCCTTCCACGTGTCGCCGCCCCTCACCACCGGCCCCCCGGAGTTTGAACGTGTCTTTCGAGCCCAGTGAGGCGCGGCGGGAGGGTGCGGAGGGGGGGGGGTGCGAGGGGACAGGGACCGGTCAGGATCCAAGGATCAGCCCTCATCGCGGACCCCGCCTGCCTCCATCGCAGGGTGAACTGCAGCGAGTACTTCCCGCTGTTCCTCGCCATGCTCTGGGTCGCCGGCATCTTCTTCCATGAAGGTCTGGGGGACAGGACCGGGAGGCAAGCATTGGGCCTCGTCGCGTCCCCAGACCATGGTGCTCACCCTGCCCTGCCCGGCCTGCTCTTCTGCAGGCGCTGCGGCCCTGTGCGGTGTGGTCTACCTGTTCATGCGTCTCCGCTACTTCCAGGGCTACGCGCGCTCACCGCAGCTCAGGTGAGAACCTGCGCGAGATTTCCCGCCAGACGAGGCTGGGGAAGGCTCGCTCGTGGGCGGGGCTCCCGTGGCCGGGGTCCCCAGTGGTTGGCTAGGGAGGGCGGGTCTAGCTCAAAGGAGGCGTGTCCTGGAGGCGGAGCCACAAACTGACTCCGCCCACCTCGGAGCACCGGCAGGTTGGCCCCGCTGTACGCAAGCGCGCGCGCGCTCTGGCTGCTTGTGGCGATGGCTGCGCTGGGCCTGCTGGTCCATTTCCTCCCCGTGGCGCTGCGTGCTGCGCTCCTCACACGACTCCGGGAGCTGTGGCCGATAGCCTGAGATACACGGCAAGGCCGAGAAGAACGGGAGCACAAAGGAAGGGCACCCACCTCCGCATCACCGTCTCAAATTAAAGTTCCCGCGACTGGCCCTAGCCTCGTTCTGTGGGTCGGAGGGGATTGCGCAGCGCGGCCTAGGTGGGTTGGAGGGGCCCGTCTCCCCACGGAGGCCGGCGTGGGCGGGGCCCTGAGGGGGCGGGGTCTGACCTCTGGCCCCGCAGGACCGCCCCCCAGTCATTCCCAGGATTGACTAACACCCCTCCCTCTCTCTTGAGCTCAGCTGTCCCCCTCCTCTCAGGACTCCCATCTCCTGATCTCGGGCTACTCTAGTCCACTGTCAGATCAGTTCTTTTTTTTTTTGCCAGTTGTGGGGCCTGAACTCTGGGCCTGGGCACTGTCCCTCAGCTCTTCAGCTCAAAGCTAGCGCTCTACCCACTTGAGCCACAGCGCCACTTCCGGCTTTTTTCTGTTTATGTCGTGCTGAAGAATCGAACCCAGGGCCTCAGGCATGCAAGGCAAGCGCTCTACCACTGAGCCACCTTCCCAGCCCCCGGTACAGGTAGGTTAGCAAAGTAGTGCACATCTTCAACTCTAAGACTCTAGAGGATTGTTAAGCTCAAAATTAGCTTAGGCCACATACCGAGAACACCTCACACAAAAAAATAGCCAGGCGCCGGTGGCTCACAAGTATCATCCTAGCTATTCAGGAGGTTGAGATCTGAGGATCATGGTTCAAAGCCAGCCCAGGTAGGAAAGTCCATGAGGCTGTTATCTTTAATGAACCACCAGAAAACCAGAAGTGGAGCTGTGGCTCAAGTGGTAGAGCATTCACCTTGAGCTGGAGAGCTGAGGGACAGCACCCAGACCCAGAGTTCAAGCCCCACGACCAACAAAAAAAAAAGAAAGAAAAAAATATAGATGTCCACCCAGTCTGCATACTGGAGACTGTTCATTTTCATACAACACCACAGGTACCATGGAAAGTGACTAAGGTAGACTCCATTCACATAACCTTGAAGGTAGACTCCATTCACATAACCCTGACCTTCTGGCTCCTTCCTGGATACTCAACAGCATGTGATGCACAGTCAAAAGACATAATGTAATATATAATATATAATGACTATATATGTATGTATGTGTGTGTGTGTGTATATATATATATGTATATATAGCACACAGGTGTCTGGGGCACCCCTATAGGGCTGGAAGAGCAGTGGGCATAGTCAGGAATGTAATCAAATATAGGTTCTCATAGTAAAGGTCCTTTGAGAGGACCAAAAATATCTCCAAAATAGACTTAGTCTAGTTAACAAAAGGACAAAGCTTTCCAAGCGAGAACAAGGATGTGTGCAAAGGCCCTGGGATGAGTGGAGATGGCTTGTTTTAAGGAAGATGGCCATATTAGGTGTCTTTAAACCAGGGAGGAGATGAGCAGGGCCTTGAGAACAGACAACCATGAAGGGGAGTGGGGGAGAGACAAGGTTTGAGAATACCTTTGATTTGTGGATGAAGGGAAGGCTGTCCCCAAAGGCAGTTGGAGTAGGTTGATGCCAGCCCATGATAGAGAAGGGGCGTACTCAGGGAGAGGACTTCTATAGGTTGAGAACAACTTTGCGCACCTAGATCTGGATTCTGAGTTACTGACCCTTGAATGACTGGGTAACTGGCTCCCTCCTACAATGAAGGGGTGAGGGTGAACTGTGCTGTTCTGGGACTGCTGGTGCACACACAGAGAAACCACTGTGTCCTTGGCATGGCCTATAGAGGTCAAGGTCATGAACACTGCCCAACTGGGACTGAGTGGATTTCCCCAGCACTGGGGCCTCTCCACCCTACCACCTTTGGTTTAGAGACCTCTTGGGGATAGAGCATGCGCAGAGGCAGCAACCCGGGAGGTACCTGTTTAGATTTCCAAACACTGACATTTGAACCACAATACTTCATTAACCCTTTATTACAAGTCACGCTCTTATAGAAGTATATGTGGACTTACGTGAAAAAAAATCAAATGTATCCAAGAATAAAAAACACAGCACATAAAGTAGTATATGCATTCCAGTGTTCGCGCCAGAGACTGCGGGCGCCCAAGAAAAAGCTCTTCTAAAACGGCCTGGCTCAAGCCAGCCGGCTGGGGTGCGAACGGGTTGGTTGGGGTTCGGGCGGCAGTGGACCCGCCCTCAGGCACAGTGTGGGAACCGCCTGCCTCCTGCCGCGGCCCGGCGGGCAGGGGCAGCACCAGCTCCTGGGGCCTCCGGGCCAGCGGTGGACCCCAGGCCTGCCCGAGCTCGGCAGTGAGCACAGCCCTCCAGACCGGGTGACGCGCCTGGCCCTTGGCCAGCAGCGACGGCATCGTCGGCCACATGGGCTTCGGAAGAGCTGGCCACACAGCACCCTCGGAAGCCCTCTTCTTAGTCAGCCTTTTTCAGGAAGATCTGGAAGAATCAGGCGCAGGGTCAGTGCGGGAGGGCCCTGCCCACCCGGGGACCCACTGACTGCTTCCTGCGCCCTGCCCGGCCTCACCTCGCTCAGAATGACCCACACCGGGGAGTCAGTCTGGATGGAGAGGCGCAGTGCTTCTAGGGGACCAAAGGCCGGGTCCACCTCGCCTTCTGCTACCCCCTTGTAGAAGGAGCCTGCGAGATGAGAAAGGTTTTCAGTTGGCAAAACAGACACCTAGCCCAAACGGCCTGTGTGGCTCAGCCTAGCCTGGCTCCCCGCTCACCTATCTGGAGGTAACCATCAGGGCTCCGAGGGTACCGCAGCGTGGCCGATCGGCCCTCCTGTAGGGCCTCCTTTTCTGATTGAGGGTTCTGGGGGCAAAAATCAAGAGGGTGGGGCAGGTGGCCAGGAGAAGGGAGGCCTCAGAGCACCCCACACCCCACCACACTCACATCAAAGGGCAGCACCTCCACAGACGTGTTGAAGAGCTTGTCCTCTGGGTGTTCTATGTTCCCGCTGCGGAAGAAGAACCTGCAGAGCACCGGGAAGGCTGGTGAGCGGCTGCACCAAGAGTGGGGAACAGTGCTCAGGGCCCAGCAGAGAAAAGACCAGGCCTGGGCCAGGGGCACAGAATGAGCCCCAGGGTGCTGGGCTGGGCGCCGCTTGTCTGAAACCATCATGGCCAGCAGATGTACTGTGCAAGGCAAACCAGGGCCTTGAGCTGGACCAATGGGGACCAGCATCACCGAGTCCCTCAGACGTGCCTGGCAGTCTTTACAGGGTAGTAAGGTACAACTGGGAGCTGTTTTGTATGAGTGTGTATGTGTGCGTGTGGGTGTGTGCCAGCATGTGCACACACACATTCCAATACTGGGGACCTGGGCACTATCCCTTAGCTTGTTTTGCTCAATGCTGGCACTCTACCACTTGAGCTACAGCTCCACTTCCAGTTTTGTGTTGGTTAATTGGAGATATCCAACAACAGTCTCATGGACTTTCCTGCCTGATCTGGCTGCAAACCATAATCCTCAGATCTCAGCCTCCTAGCTAGCTAGGATTACAGGCACAAGCCACTAGTGCCAGGTTTTTGTTTTGTTTTGGTTTTGGGGGTTTCTTTCTTTTTACTTTTTTGACAGTTCTGGGGCTTGAACTCAGGGCCTGGGCACTGTTCCTGAGCTTCTTTCTCTCAAGGCTAGCACTCTACCACTTGAGCCACTGCGCCACATCTGGCTTTTTTGTGTATGTGGTACTGAGGAATGGAACCCAGGGTTTCATGCATGCTAGGCAAGCACTCTACCACTACGCCACATTCCCAGTCCCTAGCGCCAGGTTTGAGCCCACCTTTTCAAGTCAGGAAACTAAGGCATGGTGGGTTTAGAAAATGGTAAAGCTACAGAATTTCCTGGTGGTCAGGGAGGGGGAACCTGCGGGTCCATCTATCGGTGCCAAGGTGTGTACCCTGGTCTTCACCCTGCCTCCTCCCCAACAGAGCACTGACCGCTCAAGGCGCAGTGGCTGGAAGAAGCGGAAGCGGATGAAGTCGCCCGCAGCAGGGGTGAAGGCCCAGAAGAAGTCCTCCCGCAGATAGGCCTTCTCCAGGGTGAAATGCTGGTACGTCTTGAGGCTCGTGCTCACCTCGGCTGGTGGGTTCACGTGCTCCTTCCGCAAGGCTTGCTTCCCAAAGTCCTTGTCCTGGGCAGTGGAGGAACAGCGGAGCAGAGCATGAACCCCATTCTTTGGTTCCACCCCAGCTGGGCTCAGCCAAAATGATGCCCTGGGAGCATGTGATGCACCCCACCTTCAGTTTCTGGATCTTGCCTGCCAGTGAGGAGTGCGTGCCCACGTGCTGGAAGAGGGACGGCTTGAAGCGGATCCGAAGGTTGGCTTTCTGCCGGTCACAATGCTTCTGTGAAGCGGGGGCCACACCTTAGGGTTCCACTCAGCCCAGCCCCCAAGAACAGAGCCTCAGCTGGGGACATGCAGGGGCCTCTGCTGTGCCTTCTGATCCGACACATGGAGAAGGGGCTTGAGCCGGGCTGGCATGGAGTGAACCTGCCTCCCCTGTGGCCCCTGCTTACCGCATCCTTCTCGGGGTTGCAGACCTTCACCCACAGAATGTGGTCCAGGAGCCAGTCAATGGGCTTGTCCCGATAGAACATGAGGATGAACTCCACAATCAGGCTCAGGTCCAGCGATTTGAACATCTTCCCTTGGGGTGGGAATGGAAGGAGGGGGGGGGTTTCTGAGTGGGCACACTTGCTTCCTCATAATCCCTCAGGGGCCATGGGAAAGGTCCCCTTGGCAAACTCCCAGGGGGCAGACAGAGTCCACACATCCCACTCAGAGGGTCGGGGTGGGGTAGGCATGGCAGCATGGCAGCCAAGGGGGCAGGTGTGGGTGGGACTAAGCTGAGCACAGGTAGGGGTGCCTACCAATGAAGCCCAGCTGGGAGAACTCCAGGATCATCCAGTCCTCCGAGGGCTGCTGCAGTGCAAAGTTCTTCATGGTGCTCAGGTAGTTGGGCTTGGCTACGATGTCGTCCTCCAGCTGAGGAGTCGGGGAGAGGGAGAGGAACTCAGTGTGGGTCTCTTACTCAGGTCCAGCCAGGGCAGGCACAGGCAGAGCAGAGCCTTGGGGCTGACCTGCACGTAGTAGATGCCTTTGGACTGCGCATACATCATGAGGAAGCAGTAATCGAGGTTCTGTTTGGTCCTCCACCTGTAGGCCAGGGGCGGGGGCTTCAGGAGCTGTGACCCTCCAAGTGGTTGGGATGTGCCACCACCCTGGGGGGGGGGGGAATGGCTTGACAGTCCTCCACAAAGTCTCGTGGCTCTTTCCATCCATTCATACCCTCCCAAGACCATACAGGTTACAAAGCACCCTGGGGGGGGGGGGGAATGGCTTCTCAGCACAGGTGGGCAGACTGTTGGAGATGCACATACCTGACTCTCTCCTTGGGGTCCCCAAAGGACTCTCGGAGGCGGGAGAAGTCAGGGTAGAAATGGGGGGAAGGGGAGATGACCTCTAGGAGTCCAGAATGGATCTCCGTGGGGAACCTTGGAGGGGGAGAAGAGGCAGGGAGGCTTACTTGCAGCTGCAGCCTCCAGGATCTAAAGAAAGGCCCCAAGCCAACCAGACCCTCTCTACCCCTTTCTAGAGGCTCACCAAGCAGACACCCTTCCACACACACACACACACAAAGCAGGTCCACCAACAACGTAGGCCTCCAGAAGAGCCTGGCCGGCTCTACACACCAAACCTCTTCCTCCCACTGAGGAAAGGAGCCATCCTGGGAGGTGGCAAGTTCCTGTCTGCCCAACACCCCAAGAGTCTGCCCAACACCCCAAGAGCCCTCCTCCCACCAGCTCTTTCTGGATGCCAGTACTCACAAGGCCTTGATGTTCTCTGTTACTGCCGACGTGTACTGTGGGTCAGTCTGCGGGAAGACCAAACACTTTCTCTTAGCCCAACTGCCCACCCCCAAGTGGCTTGGAACAGGGTGGGGTGCAGGCTTCAGATGTCCCCACATGAGGAGGGAGTAAGCCTCCCGCGGGACCCAGAGGCTGGGTGGGGACCGGCTCTTTGGGGCCCCGGTAGCGGGCGGGGTGAGTGGGACCCGGTAAGCGGCGTCTCCACGAGGGGGCGCTAATGGCTCTGTCTTCTTTTTAATTCGCTCTTGATAAATTTGTGAATGAAACAGGAAACTGAGGATTGCACTTCTGATTGGTTCCCTTCTCTCCCCCTCTCCCCCCAGGCTGTGCTGCCCGTTTTCTTTTTCTTTCTGCGTCGGGTTACTCCGTGCTAGGGGCCTGCCCTGTCCCCGCGCGCGCCCTTGGACCGCTTGCCTCGGCGATCAGCACCACGATGACCGAGTCCTCCTTCTCCTGCGGGTTGAGCTCGGAGATGAGCGAGTGCAGCGTGTCCGTCAGGTAGGAGTGCACCTCCCGCCGCACGCTCGGGATGCCCATCACCACGGACACTGCGGGGCAGGCGAGGGGGAGGGGGGGAGCGGGTGAGGCCCGGGGCGAGCCCCCCGCCATCCTCAAGCCCTCCCCACCCCGCGCCGCCCCGCCCCTACCTCCGGTGCGGCCCTGGCCCACGCGCACCGCCGGCTGCAGGCTGCTCTCCTTGGCCAGCAGGTGCGGCAGGTGGTGGAAGACGGTGGGCAGGTGCAGCACGTGCCGGTGGGAGACGTTCCACGGCTTCAGCCGGGGGTCGTCTGCGGGGAGAGGGGAGGGATCGGTGGGTCAGCGGCGCGGCGCGCCCCCCCCTCCATCAGTTCCCACCCCCCCCACCCCCCCGCAGCTCACCGGTGAGGCGGCCCCACGTGCGGTTGCCCTCCCCGTCCCGCAGCGCCTGTCTCTCCGACACGGCCCTCTTGATCTCGTCCAGCACCAGGTTGAGCTCCTTGGAGCGCTTGAGGCTCTCCTGCTCAGCCGCGTGCAGCCGGTCCCGCAGCGCCAGAAACTCGCGCTGGTAAATGTCCACCACGTCGCCTGCGGGGGGGGGGGGGGGGGGGATGGTGGGAGGGAGAGCGGGCCGTCACCAGGGGGCGGCCGCGAGCACACCTCCGGTCCCTGGGGCTGAGCCAGCGAGCGCAGATGAGCGCCCATCTGGGCGGCGGCCCCTCTCCATCTGTTCCCGCGCCCGCCACGCACGAGCTACGTGGGGACCCATCAGGGTTCCAGATGCTCAAGCTTGGGGAGGAAAAGCCCTCGTCAGGGGGTTACAGATCCCAACCCCCACCTCCCCCCCTTGGTTCTGTCTCCCTCTCCTCTGAGGTGGGAAGATGGCAAGGTCATTTTCAAGTTCCAGATCGCCGGGCATCCTGTGCGCTGGGTCTGCCCGCCGCAGCCCCCTCCTCCTCCGGAGCCCTCCACCCACGGCGCCCTTCCCTCCCTTAGGAGGTCGTTCTGAGCCCCGGCCGGCCCTCTCCCTCCTGTCACCCCCTGTCTTCGAAGATCGGGTGCTCTGGACTCACTACCACCCTCCGAGTAGGGCTGCGTCTGTGACTCTCCTCCTGGGCGCCTGTGCTTCGCCACCCTCACAGACAGGGCTGCTTGCTCACTCTGCGCTGGATTATCTCGCTCTCCCACCGGCCCTGGAGTGTGTGTGTGTAGGTGTGGGGAGGGCGAGGGGGGAGCTGTGGGGGTTTGGGCTCCCACCCCACCCTCCCTCAGATAAGCAGATGAAGTTGAGAAACTAGCCCCGGAGTTGCTCAACCTATCAGCAGACCAGGGAAGAGCTCTGAATGAATGGCCTGTGTTGTGTGAGGCTTAGGCTGGGCCTGGCCCACCTTGGAGGAGCTGTGTGCCATCCCTGAGAACCTCCAGCTGCACCCTGGCTGGCAGCTGCCCAGGTGGAGCCGCCCCTGGGGTTGTCAAGCACCTGGCCCCACTGGTCTGGGTAGGGACTAGTGAACCAGAATGATAAACAACATCTTTGTGGCCAAGTGCCAGCAGCGCCTGCCAGCCCGCGTGCTCCAGGCCTTTGTTAGTGTGGCTTTTGGCCTCTTTATTTGCCATTACCTACACCTCCCCTTCCTTGTCTCAAGTCTGAGCTTCGGTACACGCTGTTTCTCCTGCCTCTCTCCGCTTTTGTCTTGGGGCTTCATAAAAGTGCAGGCAGCACCAGGAGCCTTGTGTTCAAGCCTAGGAATCCTTCCGGAACTCTCCCACCTCACTCAGCCTTTCCATTGCCTGATCTCTGAGGGGTTCAGAGCCCCCCACAGCCCTGTACACCAAAGGTTGGTACTTGAACAGCAGGGAGGAAGAATGAAGGGCAGGCAGGAGGGGTTGGAGGGAAAGGTTGGGAGCAAGGGCAGTCAGCAGCCGATGCTCCCAAGGCACCCCTTACCCTAGGGGCCTACCCCCAATCTTAGCCTCACTCAGGCTAAAGGTCCCCCGGCCACAAGGAACTCCAGGACAGCCCACAAGGGGAAGGAGCGGGGAGTCCGGTTACCCATCTATGAGGCTCTGCGCTGGGCTCTGGGGCCAGGTTACCCGGGAAACCTGACCCCTTGAACACCGAGCGGATACCCCAGCACTGCTGTGCAGCCCAGAGCTGGCAGCATCGGGTGTGTGCTCTTCGTGGTAGTAGCAGATAGAGAAGAGATCGGGGGGGGGGGGGTGCCAGATCCTCAGAGACCCCAGGAGGAAGTTCCAAGCTTCTGGGCAAGACAGGGTGCTCCCTTAGTCTGGATGCTAAGTCCCTGCCCAACTCCAGGCCTCCTGTGTCTATCAACACCAAACCTCTGGGCAGCCCCATGCCCCTGGCCCCATCCAAAGAAGCCCCCAGAAGTGGGGGGGGGCACACAATTCTGACTCCTGCCTTGATCTTCTGTGTTTTCAGACTACCAAGCTCTGTTGCGCCATCAGACTGCTCCAAGTGGACAGACCAGGCAAGCTCTATGGGTAGCACTGCCTCCCCCCTGACCACGCTGACCACCTAGACCTGGACCCAGTCTGCTCCCCATCCCGTCCTGTTCTCCCTTCCCCAGGGGCCTTCCTTCTCCCCCAGGTCCTGAGCTACCTGTGTACCAGCAGGTGCTAGGCCCCCTGGAGTTCCTGGGCCTGGTCCCTGCCCACACCAACCCTGCTGCCATTATTCTGTCCTTCAGGAGCTGGCTCCAGCTTTCCAGCTATGCCCTGCCTGCCGCTGCTGCCCACCTATCTCAAGCCTGACCCTCATCTACTCTGGGAGTCCGTTCTGTCCTGAACCATCTCAGCCAGAAACTCAAGCTCTCTGCTGGCCTCTATATGACACCCCTACAACCTTTGCCAGCTGTGTGGTGAGTGAGCTGGAAGGCAACTCCAGTGGGTGAGCTGGGCAAGACCTGGGCAGACTTCAGTGTCCAGGGTGGGGAGCTGGCAGGGCAGAGCCTCCTGGGGGCTCTCCTCCACACCTTCCTAGTACAGAGGGGCAGGTGGAGCTGGCCCCAGGGAAGGGGTGCAGCTGTGGCTGTGGCCCTGGGACCTCTCTGTTGGTACCCTATGGGCAGCGGTGAAGCCTGGGGACTTTCACACTGCTCCCCTGGAAAGCATCAGGATGCCCTGAGGCCCACACAGCCCAACTGTCCACCCATTTCCCTCTTGGCTGACAGATCCCAGAACCAATCCTGTCCTTGGAGAAGGGGAAACATGTCCGAAAGGCACAGGCAGGTGTCAGGCCCAGGCACAGGTCTGCTGTGAACCTCGGCGGGGAGGAAGAGTCCAGGATAGTAACAGGTTTCCACGGCTCCAGGTCATCCACCAGCCCTACGTGCTGAGGGTTGGCCTCCTCTAAGGATGGGTCCAGAGCAGCCTGGCTGAGGGCTGCAGCTGAGCCCCACAGAGCTAGCTGCCTCACAGATCTGGCCAAGTCTGGGAATGAAACTGGGCCTCTAACTCTCTTCCTGGATCTGAATCCTTTCTGGGCTGGAGTCTGGCTTCCAGGATGCCCCTGTTCCTGCTGTCCTCTTCCTGCCTGGCTTCCTCATCACTTCCTCCCTTCTGCGCCTATTCATGTTCCTTTGCTTTTTCTCTAAGTCATGGTCTCAGACTAGCAGAGAGCAGCTCTAGCACAGGGTCACTACAGAGTTACTCTTTGAGAAGGGGTCATGGAACAGCCTAGAGATTTCTGCCTGCTCTTAAGGCCTGCAAAGACTTAGGCTTGCTGGACTCCCACAGAAACAGTGACAGCCCCCCAACAGAGCAGGCCCCACTCCCACAGATGCCTGGGATGTATGTCTGTGCTCTACACGTCAGTCCTGCTATGGCCTGAGGATGGGGTGCAAGGGCTGATCACCCTAAGCACAATTAGGGGAACAAGTCACGGTCTTCAAACATGGCCTCCAAGCTGTCTGCTTTCATGGCCCCGCTCCTACCTGTACAGCCTCTGCCCTCTTGACCAGGTCATAGGGGAATCTCTCCTCAGAGTCTCCTGACCCTGAACGCTAAGGCCAACCCAAGCCTTCACCCAAACAGGGCAAGTGCTGGAGTCTGGGCTAGGGTGGGCTGGCAGGCGCCTGGAAGGGGGCAGTTGCTCCATCTCCCCTGCCATTTCTCCTCCCCCAGCTTCATCTAGTTCACCACAGGAGAACAGGGAAGTAGGAGGCAGGAGGGGAGGCAGTGGCCCAGTCAGCCTCAGCCCCATCCTGCAGGAAGACCAGGAGGCCGGAAGGAAGCAGCTTTCCCCCGGTGCCTCCTGAGGTCAGGCTGGGTACACACGAGCCCCAGAGGGGCCTCAGGCCTCCTCGCTGGGCTCAAACAACCCCAATCTCTACCAAGCAACCAACCTCAGACAGTGCTAGGGTCTGGCCCCTGTCGGCTCCCAAGTGTGCCTGTCAAGTTCAAAGGCATGATAATGCCTAAGCTTGCGCTGGTGTGGCCCTGAGAGCCACAAAGTAAGTGATCGGTTGAGGGCCCAGCTGGGCTAGCTGCTCCTGGGGGGGCCCCCGGTCTGCAAACTGCCTCAGGGCAGGCCAGAGGCCAAGCCAGAAGGCTTCCCGGTAAGGGAGGAGTCCTGGGACCGGGTGCCATGGAGCAGGGCTGGGCCCCAGGGAACCGTAGGCAGCTGCAGCCGGGGCTCTGGGCTTGGGGCGGGATGGAGGGCGCCAGATGGCATGGCTGGATGTGGGCTAGTGGGTGGAGGGACAGAGCCTGGATGTTTGGGGAGAGGGCGGGGGGGACACCTACTACCTCAAGAACACTGTTGCCACCCCTGTCCCGGGGTGCGGGGGGGGGCGCTGGCTTCCCGGGACCCCTCCTCCCAGCCAGCTCGGTGACCTTGTGTCTCTGGCCCCCTGGGTGGGAACTCCATAGATCATCAACTTGCCAGGGGGAGCAGCGACCGCCCTGGCACAGGACTAGGTGTCCGGGGAGGGTGGGGGGGAGACACCATGCTGGGGGGGGGCATGGGCGTCTAAAAGGGGGGAGCCCTTCCTTGGCCAGGCTGGGCCCCGTGGCGAGAATGTCGTGATCGCAGCAGCAAACAAGTGGGGGCGAGGCTGGGAGGGGCGGGGAGGGCGGCCGGGGTAGGGGCGCCGCTTCCGGCCGCCGCCCGCACCGGGGCTGGGCC